TGACCATCGATTCACTTAAATGTGTTTATTAGCTTACGATACGAGTGAAGCAAAGTGAAAGAGCGAAGCAAAGAGTGAAGCAAAGTGGAAGAAAAGGACTATTAATTGTTAAATGCCCTTAAACTCTGTGACGTTCTGGGCAAGTGCGCGAAAATGTTTCGTATTATGATGTCATATGGGGAAAGATCTTACTCCCCAGCAAACAAGGTAACGTTGGATCAACGTTATATCAAGTTACGAACGTTCATTCAATGTTGATTCAACGCTGATTCAACGCTGATTCAACATTATGTGTTTCAAATTGTTTGCTGGGTCCGAACTATTTTTTTCTCCATGGACTTTGCCATTGCGATCGCATTAAATAATTTTTTTTATTGCTTATTTTGCTTAAATATTTGTATTAACTAAATTACTTTCCTTTTATTATTAATTTAAATATATAAAACATTTAAATTCCATATTGGGTTTCGCAGACGAACTACACGCGAGGACCGATGGCACGAAACGCCAACAGCTTCACGTGTCCCACGACGGGGAACCTGGGCGTGCCGTGCGACGCCCCCAAGAACCGCCTTCTGCGGAAGACCTCGAAGTCCCTGGACCGGTTCCCGATCATCAGCGAGCAGAGCCCGGAGACCTTCAACCTGCTGTACGAGGAGCACTCCATTTCGGTACCGGTACTGATCGGCGAGGACTACGAGCCGAGCAGCGTCGGCGACATCCCGGACCACAATCTCAAGTTTTGGCTCGCCAATAAATTTGGCAAATTTCGTCGCATGATTCCCAAGACCCGGCAGATCGCGTTATGACCGAGGGGAGTACTCGACACGAAGTACTTCAAGTACTTGATGCCTTTCTAGTCACTCGCCGCGCTCATGCTACCTATACAGGGTTGATAATTGCAAATTTTCAAAATTTGCAAAAATGAATTGCAAATTCACCTGTGACTGTGATTCTCGTGCTTGAAAATTCGTCCAACCTCACCACGGGACATTCTGCACTTTTCAGTCGGATTTGAGCAGTTCGAATGAATTTTGCTTTAAAAAAAAAATTGCAGAAAAAAAAATCAGCAGAGGTTGAGGAACGTGCCATGAGAGCTTACGGGGCAATTCTGCTGTCAAGCATGTGAACTTCTCGGTGATAATTCCTTCCACTGTCGACTTTTGCCATATCAACTCGACATTCCTCGTGTGCAGTTTTTTGGCAGATGTGCCGAATTTGTTTCGCAAGTCTTTTTTTATTATTTAGAAGTTACCGATTTGAGTCAGGTTTTAAAATTTGATTTAAAATTTGTGGTATTTTCCGCGTCTCCCCTGGCTGGAGAAAAATTTCCGGGCAAGATCCAGGTCGGGAGCAGACGACGCGCCTCGATCCCTATCCTCGATCTCGATTGGCGGCCGGGTGCGGCGTCGTCTGCTCGCGAAGGTCTCTGATTGGCTGCCCGCGGCAGAGACCCTCCACTGCTGGCCCCGCTTCGCCTCACTTCCCCCGCGGACGGCGAGCGGGCAGCATCGACCTGGAGTGATTGCCGGTATTGCCTGTAGATGGCTCTGCCTGTATGGTGGGTTTTATTCGTAAGCTTCCTTCTCGTTTCGTTCTCCAGCAGCTTAATTTTGAATCTCGAAGCACGCCAGATGGAGACACTTGTGGTTCGTGGCTCTTAGCGCTTGTTTTTTTCGGATTTCCTTCAGGTTAAATAGTCCGATGTTAAATGGAATGACACCAAAGTTCCTAATATTTTGTGAGCGTGGAACGGAGAAATCAAAAAGAGCGAGTCATGTCATTCTTGGTGCTCATGTACGATAGATGGATTGTATTTTTTTTCCTTACATGACGCAGTATGTTGATGTTTTATAAAGATATTGGCTCATAATCCTGCTTCGTTTCATTTCGTCGGGAGGATTTCTTAATCGCTTTCGTCGTTATCTCGGGAATCGCTGCACCTGTGCGCCGAGAAGTGCACACACGCAGGTGGTGCACAGGGTGAAGGATGAGCCTCCGACGTTCGCTTGCCGCGACGGCGATATTCGCGACGGCGATTTTCGCCTGCCTCCGCGGATCCAACGGACAGGCGGATTTCCAGTTCGAATTCTCCGAGACGAGCTTCACCGTCTCCGTCGGTGGAATCACGGTCAGGCCGTGCAGGCTTTTCTCTTCGTGGCTTAAGGCTTACTCTGGCTTAAGGCTTACTCTGGCTTACTATGAGGAAAAAATACGCAATACACATTTTGTATGCAATTACTTTTTTTCCAAATTACTCTTGCAATATGAAACCTGAAATTTCGCACTCAGAAACGGCAAACCTGAAATGTGTTGGATCCGGTTGTAATATTTTTACTTTTTATGATTAAAGTAGGGAGTTAAGAGGCAACTGCCATCAAATTTTCGAATAACATTACAGGAACTGTTCATTTTTGCATGGAAAAATTGGGAAGTTCACTTTTTTTTACTCCTAACAGTCAGTTTTATAACATCGGTTTATCTAATATTTTAGGTTTTTTCGAGAATGTCTCAGTAACCACCGGAGCTTGATGCAAAAACCATGTTGCAAAAATATATTTGGAATGGAAGCTTTTCGATGGTATCAGCGATTTTTACTTTCTGCAAAGCATCTCAATTTTCGCTCATCGAACCCAATTTCTCCCTCCGCTCCGATATCGCTTGGGGTCGAATTTCGCAGGCATCTGTAATTCCGAGGAAAAAAAAAAAAAGGACATGAATTCCGTGAATAGCCATGAGAGCAGCTAGAAGTTACCGAATTAGCATAAACGGAACACAAAGGAAACGGAGACACGCGTTGCACTTTTAATTACGTAACGCCACGGAATTCTCAGCGAGGAGCCAGATGGTTTTCCTCTCTCGCGCGAGATAAGCGCGCGTGCGAGGCGAGGCGGTGCTTCATCTCATTCTTCTTAAAAAAAAAAAAAAAAAAAAAAAACCTGGCCCCTAACTTCGTATGCGCCTGGGAAGAGAGGCTTCGCGAAAATGCACGCGGTGGGGATGGTGGATGGGGATAGCGCATGGTAGATGGTGGATGGGGATAGTGGATGGAAGATGGGAGTGGATGTCTCTTCCTCCTACATATCTGCTCCCCCCTCACAGAAGTTATCGAATGCGAGAAATTTTGCCGCGGAATAACCAGGTTTCGAGAGGAGGAAGTGGCAAGGCGAAGTGGCACTTGGAATAGGAACAAGTTCACACTATCAGGTCCCCATCGCAAGTTTTTTTTTATATTGCAAATTGGACACGTATCGTCCATGACCACTTTGGTCATCCGAGGCTGATTGAAAATGTAGGAAAAAGAGAATCAGAGCAATTTCACCGTTGTAGCATATGCTCGAAACAGTAATAATATTATATTAATGTAGTAATGTAGGTAATGAGAATAGTAATATAAGCAATAAAAGTCGCGATCGGCGACTTCCCCGATCGACAGCTGCTGGCTCATTCGCCGGAGAATCCGATCGCCTTCGTCGGGAGGGGCACGTCGTCGTTCGCCGAGAGCCTCGGCAGCTTCCTCGTCGACGACGCCATCGAGGAGAAGGTCGCCCTCGACGCCTTCGAGGTCGAGGGCGTCGGGGAGACGGTGGAGGTCGCGCTCTTCCGAGCGGGAGAGCCGGGGGGAGTGAGAGTGCAGATGTCGCTGTCGTCGGGGGAGAGGGACGCGGGGGGGATGGTGGCTCTCAGGTTTCCGCTGGTCGCGACTCTGGCGACTCTGGGCGGCGACGTCAACAGGTCATTCTCTTTCTTGGTCATACATGAAGCGCGAACGCTTCAGATTTGATCAGAATCATATTTGATGATCAGATTTGATCCGAATCATATTTGATGATCAGGTTGTGGGTGAGGTGGCCGGCCGACCCGTCCGAGAAGATCTTCGGAGGCGGCGAACAATTCACATATTTGAATCTGAGGGGCCACCGCTTCCCCACCTGGACGCGAGAGGGCGGCATCGGCCGCGACGACAGCTTCCTCGCGAACGCCGCGAACCTCACCAACCCCGGATCCGCCGGCGACTACCACACGACCTACTGGCCCCAGGCCTCCTTCCTCTCCACCCGCAAATACTATTTCGTCAGCGACTTCCACGGGTGAGCTCAGCGGCATCCAGCCCCATCCACCATCTCCATCCCCCATCTCCATCCCCCATCTCCATCCCCCATCTCCATCCACCATCTCCATCCACCATCTCCATCCACCATCTCCATCCACCATCCCCATCCACCATCTCCATCTACCATCCAGTGCCGACCGTCTCTTTCAGGTATCAAGTCCCCGACTTCAGCGCCTCCGGGTACCACGAGATCTACTATCACGCGACGGAGGCGACCCTGCTGTTCCTCGCCGGCGACACCGCGACCCCCCTCCGGGACCTGGTCCGGGACTTCTGCACCTGGACCAACCGCCCTTTCCAACTCCCCGACTGGATCTTCAACGGCGCCATCTTGGGCGTCCAGGGCGGCACAGACCGGGTTCAAATTTCCCAGAATTTATTTTAAATAAATTCTGAATTTATTTAAATAAATTCTGAATTTATTTAAATAAATTTTGTGATATAAATAAAAACCGTTCTGACCGCTTTTTCCTCGCAGATGCTGGAGATATACGAGCAGTGCCGAGCGAACGGAGTGTCCATCAGCGCCATCTGGATCCAGGATTGGTCGGGGAAGATCACGACGACCCTCGGCACCAGAGTCTTCTGGAACTGGCGGTGGAATCAGACTTGGTACCCGGGTGAGAGAACCGTGAAAATATCGAAAGAATATCGGTATCGCCGATATCGGCGATATTCGATATCGATAATTTTTTTACTTTTAGATCTGGACGTGGTGATACAGGACCTGTTGCCGGATGTCCGGATCACCGGCTACATCAACCCTTACCTGAACACCGAAGGCGACATTTTCCAGGAAGCCGCCGGGCTGGGGCATCTGGTCGTGGAAAGGAACGGGGAGCCGTACGTCCAGGAGCACGGGGGATTCGCGGCGGGGACGGTCGATCTCTTCCGTCCGGAGGCTCGGAGGTGGTATAAAGGTGGGTGATTGAGGGAAGCTAGGGTTAGGTCAGGAGAAAGCATGGTAAGGGAAATTTTTTACAAATATTATTTATAATGATTTTTTTATCAATTAATTTTAATTAATTGACGTTCACGTTATCTTAAATATATAGCCTGAATGCCTGGTAATGCGTTCACGTTCATCCTCTAAAACGGATAAGTGAACTTCTTTAATGTCTGTTTTGACATGTCATCTTTTTATTTGTATCATCCAGACTTGATGAAGGCGAACATGATGGACTTGGGTCTGGCGGGTTGGATGGCGGACTTTGGGGAATACCTCCCGGTGGATGCCTTCACGTCCCACGAGGGTGGCGACCCCTACGAGGCACACAATCTGCTGCCGCTGTACTGGGCCATCACGAACAGGTAAGCGGGAGTCCTCCATCGGATGGCCTGCAGTGGATGGCCCCGAGTGGATGTCCTCAAGTGGATGGCCTCCAATGGATGTCGGTCGGAGTCGGTAAGGCGATGGCTTCTCGTCGAAGGGAAGCGGTGGAGGAGGAGGGGAAGATGGAGGAGATTCTGTTCTGGATGAGGTCGGGGTCGCCCGGTTCGAGTCTCCACCAGCAGATGGCGTGGGCGGGGGATCAGAACGTCAACTGGGAGGAGGCGGATGGGATGCCCTCCACCGTCACGGCTGGTACGCTCTTTGGAAGGTTGGCGGCTCGTCGGCCGGCTCATCCGGTGGATGTTTCTTGCAGCGCTGAGTCTGGGGCTGAGCGGGATGGGGCGGACGCACTTCGACGTCGGCGGATACACGACGTTCGTGATCGTGCTGGAGAGGAGCAAGGAGCTCCTGCTTCGGTCGGCGGAATACGCGGCTTTCACGTCGGTCATGAGGACGCACGAAGGTCAGGGTCCTTCCGTCCTTTGTTGACCTGGGCCGGCTCGAAATGCGCTGTCGTGAAATTTTAATTTTGAAGCCGGAGCTCCTTTGTGCAGAGACCCGTGCTCAAAAGACCATGCTCTCCGATCTCTCAAAATGCATCCAAAGCGGAAAAAATCCGATTCAATAGCTTGCATTCGAGTTTTCTAGCGTTTAACGCAAAAACGCGAAATGCATAAAAAACAATTTCGCATAATTCATTGATTTCGCGCGATCGATTGATTTCGCATGATTTTCGCCAGGGAATATGCCGGCCTCGAACCACCAGGTGTACACCGACGACGACACGATGGAACAGTTCGCGCGGCTCGTCGACGTCTACGTCGCCCTCGCGCCGTACGCGAAATCGCTCCTGGCGGAAAACTCGGAAACCGGTAAGAAATTTATATATATATATATATTTTTTCATAATCTTATGAATAATTTCGGGGATAATATTTTCGCTCAGGATTCCCGATCCAGCGTCCTCTCTTCCTCGAGTACGAAGGCGACGAGGCGAGCTACGGCGTTCAGTACCAGTACTTGTACGGCCGGGACCTCCTGGTCGCCCCCGTTCTGCAGCCCGAAGTCGTGAGTCGAGGCCTCACCGATGAATAATAATAATAATTAATAATATGATTATAATTATTCATATTTATAATAAATCATATTTATAATAAAAATGTAAAAAAGCGAACCATTTTTGGATACATATTACCAAAGATTATCTTGGTAAAATACATGCATAAAAATCGAAATTAATTTTAATTTTAAAATAAAATGAATTTTAAACTATTAAAAATTACATTCATTTATCTAACGTATTATTTCATTAACTAGATTTAAAACATTAAACGAATTCTAAAAATAATTCCATTCATCATTTTAAAACTTCTAAAAATTAATCCTCGCCCCCCCTCGCCCCCCCCCCCCCCCCCCCCCCCCCCCCCGCC